AAAGCAATATCTAATTAACCTCATTTAATTCAGTTTGATATGTATTTAGATCACGTAACATTCCCCAAATGTGTATATGAAATGGGATAAGAATGTGACTGATGAAAATATTTCTCCACATATTTTATGTACTCACAAGCAGAAAAAATACACACACACACACACACACACACACACATATATAACACTTATGATGTATAGTGGGCTTCCTTCGTGGCTCAGACAGTAAAGCATCTTCCTGCCATGTGGGAGACCTGGGTTCAATCCCTGGGTCAGGAAGATTCCCTGGAGAAGGAAATGGCAACCCACTCCAGTATTCTTGCCTGTAAAATTCCATGGACTGAGGAGCCTGGTGGGCAATGGTCCCATGGGGTCGCAAAGAGTCGGACATGACTGAGAGACTTCACTTTCATTTTCACTTTCACTTTATGGTGGGTATGTAAGTTATGAAACATCTGGAATGCATTCTGAGTTCTTGGCAATTATTGCTTTCCGTTGGCATTTTATATTATTTTGGGAAGAATTTTTGCTTGCTTATTTTGTCTTTATTTTTGATTTTATATTATCTAATCATTCAAGTACAGGATGGGAATAACACCTGATAACTCCCTCAAGAAATGGTAATGCTGGTGGGTCAATTGGAATGTCTCGCTAATGTCAGCTGTAGGAAATAGACATTGAGTTTTCTCATGTAAAGAGAAGCATGTGAGCCAATGAAGCCATTGGTCTTCTGGCTGCCTGTGCCCATCCAGTCTTATTTCTGTGATTCCCTTGGCTTGTCTCTCATGGCGTGACCAGCTGCTGTGGCTCTGGTTTTCATGCTTATGTCTCCATGGTGGCGCCAAGAGTCTCCTGCCTTCATCTCATTAGCTAGATCAGTGATATAAGTAAACCCCATCTGTGAGACAGACTGTAAAAGGACATATCTAGCTTTTACAATCTCTCTAGCAAGTGCAGGCAAGGAGATAGTGGTTGGGATTGAGGTTAGGGTGAGCTTGCAGTCTTCATGAGAGCTAGTGGGTAAAATTGGTCCCATTACATATTTTCATAAGGGAAAGCATAAAGTTAAATAACTGCTTTTATTACTCCCAAATGAGGAGAAATTGCGCATGAATAAAGATCTAGTTTGCAAGCGGGAAGAGAAATAAAGACAATGGCAAGAACTCAGGAAAGGATTTAAAAATTAGTGTCTATAAACACACATTTTGCTTAATCATGAAGGGTCCAAAATACCTACCTCTGAGGTGTTTAAACATCAGCATCTCACTATTATGACTTAGGTGAAGTGCTATAAGAAAACAATATTCAATTCCTTGCTATCATATACATCTAATGTATATAATATACAAGAGAAGAGCATAAGTCAAATAGAAGTTTTAGCAGAAATAGATTGCTTTTATGATGATAAAGATATACTACTTTATTAGAAAATGAGTGATTGCTTTTTTAAAAAACTATTTTTATATCCTGGATATTACTTTAGTTAATTTACATTAACTAATTTACTTAACCATATTGTGTACCTAAAAAGAACAGTATCTGAATTTAAACCTGATAGTAACTATTTTTCTCCCATTTTCAGAAAAAACAAAACAAATTCATCCCAAGGCACAAGCTCTGAGGCCCTGAACTAGCTCTCTTGCTATAGAACTGGAGTTTTGCCCAGATAGCCTACAGTGAGTCTGACCTGACCCCCTGGAGTAACTACTGCATACTAGATTCCCTGCCATTCTCACAAATCTCATAAAAACGTCCAAAATTTTTACTTATACAAAATAACTCATTTTATCTTGCAGGAGAGGAACAATTGTCCCTTCACCCTACTAAGTTCTTTGGATAGTGTAATAATTAAATTGACACAAGACAGATAAACAGGAGAAAATGAAATTATGTATGTACAGGAGTCCTTTAAGGCTATGAGGCTCATATGCAGTCAGGCCCCTGGGGCTTAGATGTCATTCTGAGTTAAGGAGCAGAGGGGTAGGAGTCTGGAGCTTAAAAAAGGAGGAAAAAATTTCACAGGAACATGGGAAGAGCAAATGTTCGGTAAACAAATGTTCACCATGCCACACTGAGGCAATGGGAGACAGAGAGGAATTTGATCTCCAGGCTCAGCAATCTCCCCATCAGCTTACAGCACCTCCGTCATCATCTTTGTACTCACCTCACTGATAGTTCTCTTCCTGGACCAAGTTCTCTACCTAAATTCTCTCTGGCAGAAGACAGAGAGGTAAAACTTTTTCTTGAATCTGCTGGATCTCGATTGCCTTCAGCTCAAAAGAATCCACAGCTCAAAATAGTGCCACATTTTGGGGAGACATGATCTGAACTCCTTCAGTCCCCTCCCAATTTAAAAAGTCCTAAGAGATGAAATGGCTGTTTGGTAAAATATTAAAATGTAAGTTATATTTATAAAGAGAGATGAATAAAAGAAAAATGATATCTCTGAAAAATGCAAATATTTATAGCAAAATGCTGAATATTAAGCTCAGTACTTCTTGAAAGTTTTGACTCAACAAAGATAGTCATAAATACACAGCATTGGTTTATTTTAACTCACTAAATTTGTTTTAATTTTAGACAAATTTTCTGTGTTTATATGGGTAGAACCACTATTGAACTGTAAGTTATAAATAAAAGTGGAAAAATCTTCACAATTATATCAGATGAAAAAATGCTTAAGGAAGAAATTTAAACATTTTAATTATTTTTTGAATAAAGCTAAAACCCTTTGTTGAGAGACATAAATAATATTTTACTAAAGAAGGAAATATTATTAATGAAAAATAAAGAAATGCCATTCCTCTAAGATTAAGTATTTAATAATTTTAATCAAAATTACAGGGTTTTGGATCTTCATGATTCTAAAGTTTTCTAAAAATAAAGTAATAACACTGTCAAGATATCTTACAAAGAATAGTGAAGATTTTTTCATGAGATATTATGTTTATATTTGACATTATATTTATGCTTGATATTTTCAAGCATCAAATATTGATAATGATAAAAAATAATAATAATTTGAACAACATTGTCCTAATATTGGAATAGACAGATCACTATAATACAAAAGTCCTAAAACAGATTAATCTATATGTTGTAATTTCATATTTTGAACCATAAATTAAATGAATTTCTTATTAAAATTTCTTATTTTAAAAAGTTACTGACTTTAAGTTAGCCTCCCCCTTCTGAAGGATCTAAAGATAAAATTGTACAGAAGAAGATACTGCTTTGAACATTTTAATGTATTCAAAATAATAAAATCAACCTCTTTTCTGGCAGTACAGAGTAGGTTATTCAAACTAATCATCCTTCTGAAAATTGCTAATAAAATTCTTGATAACATCAAAAATTTGAAAAAAATCAAAATGAACTAAGCCAAGTTAAAAAGGGATAAGAAAGAAAACACATCTTGGTGGGGTTAGATTTGTACCAGGAATGCAAATTATCAATTAATATAGTCTACCACATCAGTAGAATTAAATGAAAAATATCCAGCAATTCTCTCAACTGATGCAAAAAACAAAAGCAGTTTCAAATCTGAGAGCAAATATCAAAGTAGGAATATAAATAGATGTTCTTAAATAAATGTTCAAAACATACAAGAGAATAACACGGCTATCCATGTGACAGCCTTCATATCTTTTCTACTTTGTGCTAGAATTCTAGCGAGCTCAATAAAGTGAGAGAGAGCAAGAGAGAATTAGAAAAAGGAAACAAATCTGTTATTACTTGCAGATATAATTGTCTATAGATTAATTAATTAATGGAATTGCAAGTATTGCAACATACAAAGAAATTATCAATATATCCCTATATGCCAAATCCTGGCAAATATTTTCTGCTGACAGCCAGATAGTAATTATTTTAGGTTTTGCAGTTCATAAGGTCTCTCTCAAAACTACTCAATTCAGTCATTGCAGTCCAAGAGTAATACTTAAAATACATAAAGAAATATACTTGACTGTGTTCTAACTAACTTTATTTACAAAATCAGGATAAGGGCCAGATCTGGTTATAGACTATAGTCTGCCAACTCTGATATCTACTTACTACCAAGTGATAAAGTTCAAATTAAGAAACAAATAGAAGTATTATTATATAGAAATATTTTTAAAGATGCAAATCATTCTATAAGGGACATATAAAACTCTTTTGAATACAATAAAGAAGTAAATGGAAAAAGATACTGTGTTGCTGTACAAAGCTCATTCAACTCAATATGATTAAGTTTAGTGCGAACTAATCAAAGTCCTTTAGGTTTGCTTATATGGACTTAGCGGAACTTGACAAACTAATTCTAAAATGTATCTCTGATGTCAAAAGTTAAGGATTGGTAAGGCTCTTTTGAAGTAGAAGGGAGTGGTAGAAGGATTTTTCTCTACCAGAAAATAATTACTTTTGAAGTCATTGTGATAAATGTGGCTGTGGACAAGTAGAAACAAATGGGCCACTTGAACAAAAAAGGGAAACCTGAGAAGTATTCACATATTGGCTCTTCATCATATGACGGAGGTGACACGGTAGAGCAGTGACGAAAATAATGCTATCTAAAATCCCCACCAGGTGAAAAAAATGAGCCCCTATCATAGACTGCACAAAAAATCTACCCCAAGTGGATCAGGGAACTAAAAGAAAAGTGCCAACTATATATCTTGAAGGAATTAAATAGACAAATATTGTTATGATTCTAGGGACCTGTAGGAAAAAGTAATTTAAGTGAGTCAAAAAGTAAAAACTTTTCAACAATGTTGCATTCATCCCCCCAGGCTAAGCCCTCCAACCCCAGTAACCATTGAGTCTTCTTTGAGGTGGACAAGGGAAGGGAGCGAGTTGGTCGAATTGTCTTAGAATTGTTTGTAGATATTGTACCTAAAACTGCAGAAAAATTTCATGCATTGTGCACAGGAGAAAAAGACATTGGACCCACTACTGGGAAAACTCTCCATTTCAAAGGATATACTTTCCATAGAATTATTAAGAAATTTATGATTCAGGGTGGAGACTTCTCAAATCAGAATGGGACAGGTGGAGAAAGAATTTATGGTGAAAAATTTGAAGACGAAAATTTCCATTATAAGTATGACAAGGAGGGATTTCTGAGCATGGCCAACGTGGGCAGCAACACCAACGGCTCCCTGTTCTTCATCACCACCGATCCAACTCCGCACTGGGATGGGAAGCACGTAGTGTTTGGCCAAGTGATTAAAGGAATGGGTGTGGCAAAGATTCTAAAAAATGTGGAGGTGAAAGGTGAAAAGCCTGCCAAAAATGCGGAGAACTGAAAGAAGGGGGTGATTGGGGAATATTCCCAAAGGATGGATCTGGTGACAGTCACCCAGATTTCCCCGAGGACGCAGATGTGGATTTAAAAGATGTAGATAAAATTTTATTAATATCAGAAGACTTAAAAAAAAAACATTGGAAATAACAATTTTCAAATCCCAGAATTGGGAGATGGCCATTAAAAAATACACAGAAGTTTTAAGGTATGTGGAAGGCTCCAGGGCTGCTGCTGAGGACACAGATGGAGTGAAGCTGCAGCCTGTCGCTTTGAGCTGCGCGCTGAATATCGGCGCTTGCAAACTGAAGATGTCTGATTGGCAGGGCGCAGTCAATAGCTGTTTGGAGGCCCTTGAAGTAGGCCCATCAAATACCAAATCACTGTACCTAGAGCCCAAGGATGGCAAGGATTAAAAGAATATGATCAAGCATTGGCTGATCTTAAGAAAGCTCAGGAGATAGCACCAGAAGATAAAGCTATCCAGGCAGAATTGCTAAAAGCCAAGCAAAAGATAAAGGCACAGAAAGATAAAGAGAAGGCAGCTTATGCAAAAATGTTTGCTTGATGAGGATTTTGCTTAAGTGTGCGTTGATTGTATGAGTGAGGAAGACAGTTTAACGGTTTGTCTGTTCAGTGTGATCCCTCTTGTGCTCCCGCTGATACTTCAGTTCCCCACGTTTACAGTCCAGGAATGTGGATAGGGACTTACTCTTTAATTCACCAGTGTTACAAACTAAAATGGCGTCGATTCCCTTTTCAGGGACTCTCTGCATTATTCTAAGGATAATGGTGTCTCCAGCTTGTTTTTAAACTCCTAAAGACACATCATGCTTGAATAAACAGACAAAAGCTTGAAAAAAAAAAAGTAAATACTTTTCAATAAAAACTATCAATAAATTTAATCACATTAAACTGAAACCCTGATAAGTAGGAGAAATAAACTTATATAGACAGTGGGAGGAGACATTTGTCACAAAGATTACTGACAAAAGAATTAATATAAGAAATACATAAAGAATACCTATAAATCGACAGGAAAACATAAAAATTGGTGGATAATATTGAACAGGGCCTTTTACAAAAGTAGAAATCCAAGTAACAAATGAATGTGCTCAATCTCACTATTAACTATGTAAAATATTTTAATGTACTATTAGCCTCTTGCTGAATTGATGGGTTTTAAACGATGTGTTTGTTATATATTTCACAACTAAAGGAAGAACGTCTAATAAAGATATTCTTATTAGCCTCTTCAATTTTTAAAGAGGAGAACCTAGAAACAAGGGGCTTCCCAAGTGGTGCTAGTGGTAAAGAATCTGCCTGCCAATGCAAGAGATGCAAGAGATGAAGTTTTGATCCCTGCATTGGGAAGATTCCCTGAGTAGGAAATGGTGACCCACTCTAGTACTCTTGTCCGGAAAATCCCATGGAGAGAGGAGCCTGGTGGGTTACCGTCCATGGGATCTCAGAGATGGACACGATAAGCGACTGAGTGTGCACACACACACACCCCCCAAGAAACATGGAATAAAGAAGTTTTTCAAGTCATATAGCCAATCCGTGGTAGCCTCAGATGGAAACCAGCCCAAATTATCAACATACCCCAGCTTCAGAATGAAGGCTTCTTGTTTAAGTACTTGCTAAATGGTGAGCCCTTGGATGCTATCTCAAATCTTTCAGCAGGTGCTTGATTGAATGTTTGTGTTATGTTGGATAGGGAGGTGCAACAGCCAGGATACTCTGAGACAAAATAAAGCTACTAGAAGGGAAAGTCTGGATTCTGTGTCCTGGCAGACCTCTTTGAATTGAATTTCATTCCATGTGAAAGCAAGTATTAGCGGTAAGGTGCTGAAGAAGCTGTTTTCTTGTGAGAAAGTTTTAGAACTTGTGCCCTGGGTACTGGTTTCAGATTTCAGATGGTGACTATGCAAACAGTCATTGGGAAATGGATCCTTTGTTTTTCTCTAAAGAACTCGACAGTGTCTGAAGGAGGAGGATGGAAAGCCTTGGTACCTATTGCCTCTGGGGTGGATGCTGATTTTCTTGCTGTGAGATCCAAGCAAGAGAGCTCTAAGGCAGCCCCAGGCTTCTTCCATGGTGAATTGGGAGAGAGGAAAAACAGGGCAAAAATAGAGTGTGAACTCCAGTGTGTAGACAGGTTTATAGTCTTCAAAATGCTTCTTCATATAGTATTAGTGAGAATGTCCCAGAGTCCCAAGGATCTTTCCTTCGCTGGTAGGAACAGAGAACTTGGAATATTGACTTGAATGGAACATCGTTTGTGTCAACAGACTGTGAAACCTTACAAAGTTTCCCAATGCAGGTGCAGCATGCATAAGGAAAGATGTGGGTAAACTATATTTGAACTGGCTTGCTCTGAGGAAGTGTTAAATAAAGTAAAATGATAAGTTAATTAGTAATTTAGATTTTCAAGAGCAAAACATACCTATAGCTTCTTATAAATATTTATTTTAATAAGTATCCCAAGTGAAGGTTAATTTAAATATTCATATGTTTTCAAAGGCAATCTACCTCTTAATTGATTATGAATAATAAACAGCACCATTTAAAAGTGGAAATCCAAGAGATGAATAAGCATATAAGGAGATTGCTTCAACCTCATTATTAATTACTTTAAAAGATTTTAATGTTACGCCAGCATACTCTTTTTGCTGACTTGGTGGGTATTAAATTATGTATATTTTATATGATTTATGTCACAATTAAAGGAGGAAAATACCATGAAAGCAAATAAACCAAAATAAGAAAAATTGGTCTTAATTTTCCAAAATGCAAAGAAAAGAATAGTTCAAGTAAAACGTTAAAAGATTAAAGACAACACAGTCTATTGTTAAAGTAATTTATAAACCCTTATAATATTCTATGATCAAGTGAAAAAAGGCAGCATAGTTTCTGCGCAATTAACTTTATATTATATTAAAACTTTTACACAGAACAATCACTTATAGTACTCTAAACTTTTTTTCCCTGTAGCCTCTGTGAACATATCACATAAATTATTTATTATATTCATTCCTTATTTTCTATCTCTGTGCTGGAATGCAAAATCCCTATAACCAGGGCTTTGTTTAATTCACTGAAGTATCCCATGCAAAGAAAATATGTGCCCAATAAATATTGTTGACTAAATGGTTGAAAAGTAAATTCATTAAGGTATAAGACTGAATGCAACTTAGTGTTAATGAAACTGATAGCAAGAGGAGTGAATATCCCGGGAAAAGTTTATACATTTTTTGGTTTTATTCAATTACAGTGAAAAAAACATGTGAAAAGTCACTTATTTTTGTAAAAGGGAATTGATAGTTTGTATAGTATATCTATTTGGTATTGGCACCTGACAATGATGCAAGCTTTGACTCCTGAATAGTTTAATAAAGGTTGAGAGGACATAGGTCAAGCAACTCAAATGCTTTGCCATCAGCCCTCTCACCATGACACTGCAAAATTCACATAACATAAAATTAATTAAAGTGTATAATTTAGTGGCATTTAGTATATCATTTACGTGTAACCACCACCTCTGTCAAGTTCCCAGATATTTTCATCACTCTTAAAGGAAACCCCATACCATTAAGAAGTCACTCCACATCCCAAACTGATCTCAACCACTGGTAACCACCAGTCTTCTTTGTCTGGAGGGACCTATCGTGGACATTTCATGTAAGTGGAGTCATAAACATGTGATCTTCTGTTTTTTGATTATTTCAATTAGTATGTTGTTTGTTAGGGGCTTCCCATGTGGCTCAGTGTTAAAGAACCTGCCTGCCAATGCAGGAGACACCAGAGATGCGGGTTCCGGCCCTGGGTCAGAAGATCCTCTGAAGTAGGAAATGGAAACCCACTCTAGTATTCTTGCTTGGGAAATCCCATGAACAGAGGAACCTGGTGGGCTACAGTCCATGGGATCGCAAAGAGTTGGATACGACTGAGCGTGCATGCACACACACACACACACACACACACACACACACTGTTTTTGAGGTTCATCCATACTGTTGTAGGCGGCAAACTTCATTTCTTTTTAAGGATGAATATTTCTTTGTATGCACATGCCACAACTTGTTTCTCTGTTTCTCTGTTGATGTACATAGGTTGTTTACACCTATTGGCTCTTGTGAATAATACTGCAGTGAACGCTACTACAAGTATCTGTCCAAGTTCTATGTTCAAATCCTTTGGGGCATATACCTAGGAGTGGAATTGTTGAATCATATGGTAATCCTGTTTGCTTTTTGAGGTACCATCAAACTTCATCATTTTGCATTCCCATGAGAATTGTATGAGGATTCTAATTTTTCCACATCCTCACCAAATCTAATTTTCCATTTTTTAATGTTATAATCATCCTAGTGGATGTGATGTGGTATCTCATTGTGGTTTTGACTTGCATTTCCATAATGATTAATACTTTTGGGCATTTTTTCACATGCTTGTTGGCGATTTGTACATCTCCTTTGGAGAAAACTCTTTAAAGTCAATTTTTAGATTTTTGTTGTTGAGTTTCAAGAGTTCATTATATACTGTGGATATTCAACCTTTATCATATACATGAGTTGCAAATATGTTCTCTCATTCTATAGATTATTTTCCCCTATTTTGAAAGAATAATTTGATGACAAAACACATAATGTCACTCTGGAAAATGTATTAAGATATTTTGAAATCAACTACAGATAACACAACAAGTGAAATTATAAATTTGAACATCTGCAGTTATTATAAATTAAATTTATAATCAACAGTAAGGTTATTTAAAAATCTATCAGAATCAGAATTTGTTTCAGCTAAATCTATGGTAATTATATATAAAGTCTAGAAAAATATCTTAAGTGAACATATAACTGATTCTACAAGTTACAGACTGAAATTTCAGAGTAGATATACTTTTGATGTAAGTAAATTTTCCTCCTTTTTATTAAATTGGAATTTTTAATTAGTAAAATATGAGAAATTTATCAATTACAATCATTTTAAGAATAC